TGAGAGTTGTTGGTCATTCCTTGGGGGAAGAGGTATTAGCAGGCCAAATTTGGTGAGATTTCGTCCGGTGGTTTCTCCGTTTTTGACCGCCTAATTACGCCCTTAAGGTTCTTATATATATAGATTATATTATAAATTAGCATAGCACAGTAGACAAGGTGGAACAGCCCCCTGGCCTCCCCTGTCTTCACTCTGGCTCAGAGCGGCGGTTGGTGCTGGGGGGAGGGGTCTCCAACTGATGGCATATGCAGGCATATGGGGGGAGGAGCCCCTGGTGATGCTGCGGGTTAAACCACTGAGCTGCTGAACTTGATGACCGAAAGGTCAGCAGTTTAAACCCAGGGAACATAGTGCATTCCTGCTGTTAGCTCTGGCTTCTGCCAACCTAGCAGTTCGAAAACATGCAAATGTGGGTAGATCAATAGGTACTGCTCTTTGGTTTAGAAATGGAGATGTGCACTACCCCCCAGAGTTGGATATGACTAGACTTAATGTCAAAGGGAAACCTTTACCATATATATAAGTGTATATATATATATGTATATATATATATATATATATAAGTAAAGGTTTTCCCCTAACATGAAATCCAGGGGTGTGGTGCTCATCTCCATTTCTAAGCTGAAGAGCTGGTTGTCCGTAGACACCTCCAAGATCATGTGGCCAGCATGACTGCATGGAGCGCCGTTACCTTCCCACTCACATTTGCATGTTTTCGAACTGCTAGATTGGCAGAAGCTGGGGCTGACAGCAGAAGCTCACGCCGCTCCCCGGATTCGAACCTGTGGCCTTTTGGTCAACAAGCTCAGCACTTTAACCCACTGTGCCACTGGTGGCTCCACACACACACACACACACACACACACACACATATATATATATATGGCTGGAGTTACACTTTAACTTACATAGAAATTAAACTTAAGAACAAACCTACAGAATTTTCTTTGTAACTTGGGAACTATCTGTGTTGGTATTTGTGCTTTAATTTTCGTCCTATGTATTTTAATGTATGTATTTAAATGCTGTTGTGTTTTACCTGTGTGCTTTAATTACAGGTAACAAATAATAATAATAGAATTCATGAGAAACAACTGGAAAAGTTTACACAGAACAAGGATTTAAAGATCAAACTGCAAAGACTCTGGCACAAATCAGTCAAGGTGGTCCCAGTGTTGATCAGCACATTGAGTGCAGTGCCTAAAGACCTTGACCCGCACTTAAAAACAATCGGGAGCTGACAAAATTGCCATCTGTCAGCTGCAAAAGGCCACCCAACTAGGATCTGCACACATAATTCACTGATACATAACACTGTCATAGACACTTGGGAAGTGTACAACATGTGATTGAATACAAAAGCCAGCATAGTGATTTTGTATGTTGTGTACCGATCTTGTTGTGTATCAAATAATACTAATAATAATTAGAGGAGAGGGCATAATGATTTAATGCCGTTCTACTTGAAAACCCAAGTAGTGGCCTTGGAGATAACCCACCCACAAAACTGTTCAATTATCTGGGCAGAGCTGTCAATAATAATAATAATAATACAAGCAAGTTCAATGGGAAAAGATAATCTGTTGCCACTTTTACTTACTTTCCAGTGCAGGTCCCCTCCACTTCGGTGAACAGCTTTTGCTTCACAGTGTTGAGGAGGTTAGGCCCAAAGTAACGTGGATGCAGCAAAATTTCATGCTCCAAAGATATCTGGAGGAAGAGAATACAGAGGTTAGCGCCCACTAAATAAATAACAAGAACTTTAAACAGTTCAGAGCAAACTCCAACTACTTCAGGGCATAAGGAAGAGCCAGTCACATTCTCCTGGAGACTCGCAAACATCATCCCCTGATGTTTCCCTATAGCAATTGGCATTCAGATGCCTACACAATACCTGTGAATATGTAGGCAGCATATTTAATGGGCAGTCTTCCTTTTGACTCCATGAAACCAGGTGAAAACCTTTCTTTTCTTTAATGATAAATATAATAATATTTATTTGTTATAGAAGGCTTTTATGGCCGGAATCCTAGCTTGATGTGTGTTTTTCGGGCTGTATGGCCATGTTCCAGAAGCATTCTCTTCTGATGTTTTGCCTGGATCTGATGTTTTGCCTGGTTGTGAGCTCCTCTGGATGTCTGCCATAGATGCAGGTGAAATGTCAGGAGAGAATGCTTCTGGAACATGGCCATATACCCCGGAAAACATGCAACAACCCAATATTTATTTATTATTTATTTATGATGGGGTTGTAGTGGTGGTGGGATTGGGGAAAATACTGGTATTTTGAATGTTAATTTCAAAGATGGCATGTTTCTATGTATTATACAATAATTTTTTTAAATGCCCACCAAAAAATTATTATTTATTTATGACATTTATATCCCACCCTTCTCACTGCAAAAGGGATTAAGAGCGACTTACAAAGTATATGTACATACAATATATTATATTATTAGCATAGCACAATATTAGTATTATATATTACTATTTTGTACTGTATGACTATACTGCACTATTATTAGTAATATTAAATGTAATATATAATACATTATTATATTATTATTATATTGTATTACAATATTACAATCAATATTATATGAGCATACAATTTATTACATTATAATAGTCGTATCAAGATAATCATAGAATCAAAGAATCAAAGAGTTGGAAGAGACCTCATGGGCCATCCAGTCCAACCCCCTGCCAAGAAGCAGGAATATTGCATTCAAATCACCCCTGACAGATGGCCATCCAGCCTCTGTTTAAAAGCTTCCAAAGAAGGAGCCTCCACCACACTCCGGGGCAGAGAGTTCTACTGCTGAACGGCTCTCACAGTCAGGAAGTTCTTCCTCATGTTCAGATGGAATCTCCTCTCTTGTAGTTTGAAGCCATTGTTCCGCGTCCTAGTCTCCAAGGAAGCAGAAAAGAAGCTTGCTCCCTTCTCCCTGTGGCTTCCTCTCATGTATGTATACATGGCTATCATATCTCCTCTCAGCCTTCTCTTCTTCAGGCTAAACATGCCCAGCTCCTTTAGCCGCTCCTTATAGGGCTTGTTCTCCAGACCTTTTATCATTTTAGTCGCTCTCCTCTGGACACATTCCAGCTTGTCAATATCTCTCTTGAACTGTGGTGCCCAGAATTGGACACAATATTCCAGGTGTGGTCTAACCAAAGCAGAATAGAGCATGGGGAGCATGACTTCCAGGGTCAAGTAGGGTCAAGCTGATCATGCAGCTTGACCCTACTTTATCTGCCTGCACTCAATGCAGGGAAAAGTAAAGGCCTTGGGAAACTACAACTTCCAGGATTCCATATCATTGAGCCATTGCAGCAAAAGTGGGGTCAAACTGGGTTAATTCTGCAATGTAGATGCACCCAATTTCACTCCTAATAAGCATGCAGCCAGCTTGCCATATTCTTATCGAATTCAAAACAGCAGAGAAGAAACAACCAGCACATCTTAACACCTCTCAACAGAACATTTTCCCAGGCTCAGCCAGGCCTTCAAATGCTAATGAAGGTGGTCAGTTGAAACATTCACACCTAGCTCCAGCAGAGAAGAGCTCTTTGCCCCACCCCAGCCATTCCACAGATATATAAACCCACTGTCCTAATTCCAACAGACCTCACTACCTCTGAGGATGCTTGCCATAGATGCAGGCGAAACGTCAGGAGAAATGCCTCTAGAACATGGCCATAGCCCGAAAAAACCCACAAGAACCTAGTGATTCCAGCCATGAAAGCCTTCGACAATACATTAGTCTTTTAGATGCTTTAAATACAGCTCCGGCCATTAACTTACATGATAAAACATGCTCCCAGCTCCAGCAGCCACCTTTTCCCTTCCTGTAAACCAGCTTCCTCCTGATTGGCTGCGCCGGTCGGAGCGCCCTCCCCCTTAAAGGAACAGCACCTTCTCCCGTGATCCCTTCGTATTTGAACCGTTGCAAACTCACAGTGAGTGACGTTTCACCTCGCTAGGAGGCTTCTCCAATCAGAATGTAGGACACAGATGGTGATATTTCTTGACCAATGGCGAGAGAGAACGCAGCAAGTTCCTTCCCCTTCAAGAGCGACAGATGGAGGAGAAAACATTCCCGCGAAGGGGGCGGGGGGGGAGAGAGAGAGGCCGTCGCCGAGAGTGACAGAGAGTGCCAGCCAATCAGGCGAAAGGGGCGTGTCCCTCGGGGCCTCTGCTTTGTGGTGGGTAAGTGGGGGGAATCGAGGGGCTCCCTTTCCGCCCGGCGCGCCCCGTCGGAAGAGAGGGATGCACTGCTGGCACCGTGGCCGGGCTGGGAAGGGGGCCTCTTCCTTCTGGGGCGAGGGAGGTCTCGGGCAGGGCGGGGGCGGGGGGAGCCGGCTGGGGGTGCTCGTGGGGGCTGAGAGGGAAATGGGGGCGCCCCGGCGTGGCCTGGCCCACGACGCCACAAAAGCATCGGAAGTGACTGGACGGACGAACCACAGGCCGCTGCTGAGAGGAATTGTGGGAGTTGGAGGCCGAGACCCCTGGAGGGCCAAAGTGTGCCCATGCCTGGGTCAGGCCCTTCAAAGGGTCTGTTTCTGTGTCCGAACCCACAGGATCTCTTCGCTCTCCTGGAGAGGCCCCGCTCGCGCTCCCACCGCCCTCGCAGGCGCCGTTGGGGGGGACGAGGGAGAGGGCCTTCCCGGTGGTGGCCCCTCCACTCTGGCACTCACTCCCCAGGGACATTAGGCATGCCCCAACGCTGGCAGTCTTTAAGAGGAGCCTGAAAACGTGGTTGTTCCGGTGTGCCTTCCCAGAATAAGGAAAACTCTTAGCAATATGTCCTCAAATGCACTTTATTTATTATTTATCGTGTCATCAGCAACCATTGTATTACAATTCTAACAGAGCAAAACAAACACACAGATTAAAAAGAAAAAGGAAAAAAACACACAGATTTTGCAAATTTGGTATTTGGTTAAATGTCCTTTGACCAGTATCTGGCCACTTGGAGTGCCTCTGGTGTTGCCGCAAGAAGGTCCTCCATTGTGCATGTGGCAGGGCTCAGGTTGCATTGCAGCAGGTGGTCAGTGGTTTGCTCTTCTCCGCACTCGCATGTCGAGGATTCCACTTTGTAGCCCCATTTCTGAAGGCTGGCTCTGCATCTCGTGGTGCCAGAGCGCAGTCTGTTCAGCGCCTTCCAAGTCGCCCAGTCTTCTGTGTGCCCAGGGGGGAGTCTCTCATCTGGTATCACCCATGAATTGAGGTGATGGGTTTGGGCCTGCCACTTTTGGACTCTCGCTTGCTGGGGTGTTCCAGCGAGTGTCTCTGTAGATCTAAGAAAACTATGTCTTGATTTAAGTCGTTGACGTGCTGGCTGATACCCAAACAGGGATGAGCTGGAGATGTCACTGCCTTGGTCCTTTCACTATTGGCTGCTACTTCCCAGCGGATGTCAGGTGGTGCAATACCGGCTAAGCAGTGTAATTTCTTTAATACTGACTTAGGATGGATTGCGTTCCCTCGTTTCTCTCTGAAAAATCCGACCCCAGTTACATTTTACCTGTTCACATCAGCATATTCTTAATTTTAATCTATTACATTTGGCCCGACCATTTTTAATATGTCATTATTGATTGTTGTTTTTGTTATGTGATTTATATGATTTGTATTTTATTGATTGTTGATTAATGTTGTACTATTGATGTTTGTTTGATGTACTTCGGGCTTGGCCTCATGTAAGCCGCACCTTGGGGAGATGGTAGCGGGGTACAAATAAAGTTTATTATTATTTATTATTATTATTATTATTATTATTATTTATTAAAGTTACCAAGTGTCTTCTCTTGCTGTCCCAAAGGAGGCTGAGCTATGCCACTGAATGCCCAACGACCGTGAGAGAGGCCTCGGCATGGAGTTCCCCAACCACAGCCAGAACGTGCTGCGGAGCTTGTGGGAGCAGCAGCATGATGGCTTCCTGTGCGACTGCACCGTCCTGGTGGGCAGTACCCAGTTCCTGGCCCACCGAGCTGTGTTGGCCTCCTGCAGCACTTTCTTCCACATGTTCTACAAGGAGCGCCTGGACAAGCGGGACGTGGTGTCCATCAACAACGAGATCGTCACTGCCCCAGCATTCGAACTCTTGCTGGAATTCATGTACAAAGGCAGCCTGTCTTTCAACGACATGCCAGTTGAGGACGTTTTGGCAGCAGCCAGCTACCTGCACATGAATGACATTGTTAAGGTGTGCAAAAAGAAGCTTCAGGCCCGAGCGTTGACTGAAGCGGACAGCACCAAGCGGGAAGAGGAGGCCCCGGGCAATTCAGAACTTCTGCCCAGTACCTCCAAGTTTCAGCCTCCGATGCCTGAGCCTCAGCCCTTCCCATTGCCATCCCTGTGTCAGAAAGACAGTGACAAAAAAGAGGAGTGGAAAGGAGGAGAGAAGGCAGCTTTGGAGGAAACTGCGGCCTCTACTTTGGATGTGGCAGATACAACGCAGCCAGGCATGGAAATCACGCTGCCAACAAAGCCACCACAAGCACCCGTGATTGACATTTCTTTCTCTAGTCCCAGCAGTTCCACTGAAACAATCCCACACAATAGCTTTTCTCTAGCAAATGAAGGTTCTTCTAACACAGACCACGCTCCAGAGGGGTATTTGGAGCAAAGGACAGACACATTTTGTCAGAAGGAAACAAACCGGCCGTCTGTCAAGGTCAAAGTGGAAGCCATTGTGATTTCCGACGAGGAGCCTGATGCGACAGAGCAACTGGAGGGACAGGGCGCAGAGTTTAGATTGGAAAGCATCTTCCAAAGGTCTGCCCCAGATACAGCGCTCCCTGGAAGATGTGGGCGCCATTTGGACACATTTGAAGACCCTGCTGGGATAGATGAAGTGACGTCGGAAAGCGGCTTCCTGTCCCAAGAGCACCTTCCGTATCACATGATCCCCATGCCTGGCGGGCAGAGCTTCTCAAACATGGTGACGCCGCCCCTCCATGAACAGATGTACCTGCCGGATTTCGAGTCCCACTCCAGCTTCGGCATCTTTACCGACGATGTGCCCACCTGCAAGACGTGCGGGAAGACCTTCTCGTGCTCCTACACACTCCGGCGCCACGCCACCGTCCACACACGGGAACGGCCCTACGAATGCCGCTACTGCATGCGGAGCTACACGCAGTCCGGCGACCTTTACCGGCACATTCGCAAAGCCCACAATGAGGACCTGGCGGCCAAGCGTTGCAAACAGGACATGGAGAACCCTTCATAGGTCTCAGGTCCCAGCAGAGAACAAGGTTATTTCTGATTATTTCCTGTAGATACCATGCGATTTAGGACTTCTTTGAAGGTGGTGATTGGTCTGCATCCAACTTTTTCTCCTCTCCTCCAGTCATTCTCACAACCAGAGCTTTCCAAATGTTTCATCATTGTGTTGCTGGAGGCCTTCATGGCCAAAATCTCTGGGTTGTGGTGAGTTTTCCGAGTTGTAGGGTAATGTTGCAGAAGCATTCTTTCCTGACATTTCACCTACATCTACAGCAGGCATTTTCAGAGGTTATGAGGTCTGTTGGAAACTAGGTAATTGGAGTTTATGCAGGGTGAGGCAGCATAACTTCCTTTTTTCAAAACTTAATAAAACCCATTGTATGAATCAGATTTTTTTATTTTTTTTATAACATACCTAAAGTTTTGTTTTACATAGTTTTGAAGATCAAATTAGGTAGGTGACATCCCCCATTCTCCAAACACTGAGTAAACCGATTTCTGGCGTTGCTGACTCTTGCCACCATAGCAGGCATTCTGTTGGCAGTTTCTTCCTGGATATTGGTCTTCAAATCTTGGAGGGTCCTTGGACGGTTCACATAAACACGGGATTTCAAAAAACCCCACAGAAAAAAATCACAATGGACCAAATCTGGAGAGCGGGCCGGCCACTCCAAATCCGCTCGAAAAGTAGGCCTCAACGACAAAAGCACGCTCCTCACTGTTCCAATGCATGATGGCAACTGAACGGTGTCAGGACAAAGCTTTATACTCCCGCCTCTCGAACGAGACCACTAGCGCTCCGCTACGTCTTCAACCGACTGAATGGCACGCATTTAAAAAAAGGAAGTTATGCTGCCGCACCCTGTATATCTGTGGAATGCTCAGGGTAGGAGAAAGAACTCTTGTCTGTTGGAGACAGGTGTGAATGTTGCCATTAGCCACCCTGATTAGCATTGAATAGCCTTTTGGCTTCAAGGTCTGGCTGCTTCCTGCCTGGGGGAATCCTTTGTTGGAAGATGTTAGCTGGCCCTGATTTATTAATGTCTGGAATTCCTCTGTTTTCTGAGTGTTGTTCTTTATTTACTGTCCTGATTTTAGAGTTTTTTAAATACTAGTAGCCAGATTTTGTTCATTTTCATGGTTTCCTCCTTTTTGTTGAAATTTTCCACATGCTTGTGGATTTCAATGGCTGTATAATCTGACAAGATGGTTGTGAGAGTGGTCCAGCATTTCTGTGTTCTCAAATAATATGTTGTGTCCAGGTTGGTTCATCAGGTGCTCTGCTATGGTTGACACCTCTCAACAAAGGATCCATCCCCCAGGCAGGAAGCAGCCAGGCTTTGAAGCTGCAAGGCCATTCAATGCTAAGGATTCCCCAGGCAGGAAGCAGATATGCTTTGAGGTTACAAGGCCATTCAGTGCTAAGGATTCCCCCAGACAGAAAGCAGCCAGGTTTTGAAGCTGCAATGCCATTCAATGCTAATCATGGTGGCCAATTGCAACATACACACTTGTCTCCAACAGGCAAGAGTTCTTTCTCCCACCCTGGACATTCCACAGATATGTAGGCCTCAGTTACCCAGTTTCCAACAGACCTCACAATCTCTGAGGACAGCTGCCGTAGGTACAGGCAAAATGTCAGGAAATAATGCTTCTGGAACATGGCCATACAGCCTGGAAAACTCGCAGAAATCCAATTTCACAATTGTTTTTGTTCATGGACCATTTTGCAATGCAGTCATTTAGTTTTACAAGCAAACCAGAAGTTTAAACTAGCAAACCAACCCCTGAGAAATTTAGACAGACTAAACGGCAATAATGGCCATCCGTCAGGGGTGCTTTGAATGCAATATTCCTGCTTCTTGGCAGCGGGTGGACTGGATGGCCCATGAGGTCTCTTCCAACTCTTTGATTATATGATTCTATGTATGCAGAAACAACCTATCTCATGAAAACCTTTTGTTTATATGTTTTTAAAGTATATGATTCGTTGCCTAACGCATAAAGACTCATGACGTGAGTGCAGCATGCCTAAACACTACCACTGACACACACAAATGTGTTGCAACACTCAGTTTGAAAGCTCTGAAATAGATTTGGATTTGAGTCTAATTTTTCAAAGGTTTTTCAATGCGGCTTCACATCCAAAGCCATTCCTTGTACAAAGCTTAGAAGGAGACACATAAAAGTAACCAAGGCAAGATTTTAAAATTGTTTTCTTCCCCTGTATTTTTTATGTTCAAGCTCACTTGGGCACAAATAATATGATGTTGTGACAGGTTATTTTTGCTCCCACAGGAGGTCAGTGCTGTTGAGCTGACAGAATATATTCTGGACCAGGAAAAGGTCTGAAAACATTGTGCTCTTTATCTCTTGATGTGCATGGTCTGCAAATAGACCAACTTAGTGTTTCCAAATACATTTATTTCACGTAAATAAAGGAACTTGTGCCTTACCAAAGTCGCACTGCCTCCTTCCGTTTTATGCACCTGGGATTTGATCCCTTTTCCACATCTTATTCCTTTCTTGAGCCGATCCAGCAAAAACTGCCAGCTGCCTCTCTCTCATTCATGGGACTCTTGTACTGAAATGTGTGTTTCCAAATGTTTTCGTTCTGTAAAGGGGCTTCACTGCCAAGGAAACATGTTTGAAATTAAAAGTGGTGCCCTAAATGTTTCTGTGTGGTCTGCTTTTCTTGTGGTGGATGCGTTCTTTCCATTCCCCTTTGAAATTATTATTAAAGCCTTATTATTATTATTATTATTATTATTATTATTATTGGAAACACAGCAAGATGAGTCCACAGAAAACAATATAACTCTGCTGCCTGTTGTATTGGATCACACGCCAGACACTTCTCCGCAATCGCATCTCCTTCTATGAACCAGCACGAGCTCTAAGATCTTCCGGGGAGGCCCTCCTCTCGGTCCAACTACCGTCTCAAGCGCGGTTGGTGGGGACAAGAGAGAGGGCCTTCTCATTGGTGGCCCCCCGCCTCTGGAACACCCTTCCAAGGGAAATAAGACAGGCCCCATCCCTCCACTCCTTTCGTAAGAGCTTGAAGACCTGGTGGTTTCACCAAGCCTTTGAAAATGACCAGTCCTAACTCAGCCCCACACATTGTCTAATACGGCCTTATTCTTCCTACTAGTTATCCAGATTCTTTCCTCTAATCGGCCCCGGAATGAACAGCCACAGACCCGTTCCTAATATTGTTGCCTGCCATAGCATTGCACTTAAATCCCGGGCCCCCTAGAATTTTTGGGCTTGCACAAATCTTGGCTCAGCCTTTAAAATTTTTAATTGCCTTGAACAGGCAGGATTACTTTTAATATATGTGTGTTATGGTGACCATTTTTATGCTTATATTTTGTTAATCTTATGTTTATGTGTTTTTACTCTGTATGTTTTGTAATGTTACTTGGGAACTGCTCTGAGTCTCCTCGGGGAGATGGCGCGGTATATAAATAAAGTTTTATTTATTATTATTATTATTATTATTATTAAGTGCCTAGGACTGTGTGATGTATCGGCGAATGATGCGTGCAGTAAGGTGGCCTTCTGCCAGGGGCGGCTCAACCCATTACGCAAAGTAAGCATTTGCAGTATAGTTGATTTTGCCCAGGGGCGCTCTTGAGGCGCGCTTTTGGGGGAAAATAGATCTTGACATATGCGAGTTGTAGTTACTGGGCTGTATAGTTTACCTATAATAAAAGAGCATTCTGAACTCCACCAATGATGGAATTGAACCAAATATGGCACACAGAACTCCCACGATGAACAGAAAATATATATCCGTGATTGGTTGGGGAGGGGGGCGCCAAAATACTGTTTGCTTACCGTTGAAAATTACCTAGGGCTGCCTCTGCCTTCTGCAGCTGGCAGATGGTAATCTTGTCAGCGCCGATTGTGTTTAAGTGCAGGCCAAGGTCTTTAGGCACTGCACCCAGTGTGCCCATCACCACTGGGACCCCCTTGACTGGTTTGTGCCGGAGTCTTTGCAGTTCGATCTTTAAATCCTCATTCTATGTCAGCTTTTCCAGTTGTTTCTCTTCAATTCTGCATTCACCTGGGATTCCAATATCTACGATCCATACTTGTTTTTTTAACACAATCGTGAAGTCAGGAGTCTTGTGCTCCAAAGTTCTGTCAGTCTGAATTTGGAAGTCTCAGAGTAGTTTGACGTGTTCATTTTCAGGCTTGTGATCCCACCAGTTCTTTGATATTTGTAGCACAAGTTCCAACGAATCATCTGAGCAACGTTGTTGTGCCTCTGCTTGTAGTGTGTGTGACCTCCTTGCAGCAGCTGAGGATGTGATCTAGTGTTTCGTCTGCTTCCTTGCAGAGTCTACACTTGGGATCTGTTGTTGACTTTTAAATTCTGACTTTGATAGCATTTGGTCTAATTGCCTGTTCTTGGCTGCCAGAATCAGGCCCTCTGTCCACGGAGAGCCTTCTTTAACCAATTATTATTATTATTATTATTATTATTATTATTATTATTATTCTGACACAAAGGCACAGTATGTCACAGCAAACGAGATCTATATGCTGTATTTCGTATCACAAAATCACAAGTCGAACCCTTCCCAAGCGTCTAGGACTGTGTGATGTATTTTTGAATGATGCGCGCAGATCCAAGTCAGGTGGCCTTTTGCAGTTGACAGATTGTGATTTTGTCGATGTTTATTGTTTCCGAATGCTGGCTGAGATCTTTTGGCACGGCACCCAGTGCGCCAATGACCACTGGGACCACCTGGACTGGTTTATGCCAGAGCTTTTGCAGTTTGATTTTGAGGTCTTGATAGCGGCTTGAGTTTTTCCTGTTGTTTTTCCTCAATGTGACTGTCACCTGGAATGGCGACATCAATAATCCAGACTTTTCCTTTTCCACAATCGTGATATCTGGTATATTGTGTTCCAAAACTTTGTCAGTCTGGATTCGAAAGTTCCACAGTACTTATTTATTATTATTTATTTATTATTATTATTTATTATTGTTACACAGTATTTATTATTATTATTATTATTATTATTTATTATTATTGGAGCCCCCAGTGGCACAGTGGGTTAAACTGCTGAGCTGCTGAACTTGCTAACCGAAAGGTTACAGGTTTGAATCTAGGGAGTGGGGTGAGCTCCTGCTATTAGCCCCAGCTTCTGCCAACCTAGCAGTTCGAAAACATGCAAATTTGAGTAGTTCAATAGGCACTGCTCCAGCGGGAAGGTAACGGTGCTCCATGTAGTTCTGGCCACGTGACCTTGGAGGTGTCTATGGACAATGCCAGCTCTTCGGCTTGGAAATGGAGATGAGTCGGACATGACTGGACTTCATGTCAGGGGAAAACATTTATCTATTACTAGCCATCCCCTGCCACACATTGCTGTGGCCCACATGGGGGTTCTGTGTGGGGGGTTTGACCCAGTTCTATCGTTGGTGGGGTTCAGAATGTCGGTGAACTACAAATCTCGGCAACTACAACTTCCAAATGTCAAGATTCTATTTTCTCCAAACTCCACCAGTGCTCACATTTGGGCATATTGAGTATTTGTGTAGAGTTTGGTCCAGATCCGTCATTGTTTGAGTCCATAGTCATCTTTGGATGTAGGTGAACTGCCCACCAAACCCTTCCAGTATTTTCTGCTGGTCATGGGAGTTCTGTGTGCCAAGTTCGGTTCAATTCCATAGTTGGTGGGGTTCAGAATGCTCTTTGATTGTAGCTGAACTAAATCCCAGCAACTACTACTCCCAAATGACAAAATCAATTTTTTTGAGTAAAGGATACATTGGGTTGTTTGGAGTCTTGTGTCCAAATTTGGTGTCTATTTTTCCAGTGGATTATGAGTTCTGTTAATCCCACAAACAAACATTACATTTTTATTTATATAGATTATTATTATTATTACATTTGACACAGTTAATCACAGTGCTCTGTGGACTATCCTAAAAAAAAAAATCGGATGACCTGACAAATATATGAACCTGAAAGCTGCAAGGCCATTCAATGCTAAGAATTCCCCCTGGCAGGAAGCAGCCAGACTTTGAAGCTGCAAGACCATTCAATGCTAAGAATTTCCCCCAGGCAGGAAGCAGCCAGGCTTTGAAGCTGCAAGGCCATTCAATGCTAAGAATTTCCCCAGGCAGGAAGCAGCCAGGCTTTGAAGCTGCAAGGCCATTCAATGCTAAGAATTTCCCCCAGGCAGGAAGCAGCCAGGCTTTGAAGCTGCAAGGCCATTCAATGCTAAGAATTCCCCCCGGCAGGAAGCAGCCAGGCTTTGAAGCTGCAAGGCCATTCAATGCTAAGAATTCCCCCCGGCAGGAAGCAGCCAGGCTTTGAAGCTGCAAGGCCATTCAATGCTAAGAATTCCCCCCGGCAGGAAGCAGCCAGGCTTTGAAGCTGCAAGGCCATTCAATGCTAAGAATTCCCCCAGGCAGGAAGCAGCCAGGCTTTGAAGCTGCAAGGCCATTCAATGCTAAGAATTCCCCCCGGCAGGAAGCAGCCAGGCTTTGAAGCTGCAAGGCCATTCAATGCTAAGAATTCCCCCAGGCAGGAAGCAGCCAGGCTTTGAAGCTGCAAGGCCATTCAATGCTAAGAATTTCCCCAGGCAGGAAGCAGCCAGACTTTGAAGCTGCAAGGCCATTCAATGCTAAGAATTTCCCCCAGGCAGGAAGCAGCCAGGCTTTGAAGCTGCAAGGCCATTCAATGCTAAGAATTCCCCCGGCAGGAAGCAGCCAGGCTTTGAAGCTGCAAGGCCATTCAATGCTAAGAATTCCCCCCGGCAGGAAGCAGCCAGGCTTTGAAGCTGCAAGGCCATTCAATGCTAAGAATTCCCCCCGGCAGGAAGCAGGCAGGCTTTGAAGCTGCCAGGCCATTCAATGCTAAGAATTCCCCCCTGGCAGGAAGCAGCCAGGCTTTGAAGCTGCAAGGCCATTCAATGCTAAGAATTCCCCCTGGCAGGAAGCAGCCAGACTTTGAAGCTGCAAGGCCATTCAATGCTAAGAATTTCCGCCAGGCTTTGAAGCTGCAAGGCCATTCAATGCTAAGAATTTCCCCAGGCAGGAAGCAGCCAGGCTTTGAAGCTGCAAGGCCATTCAATGCTAAGAATTTCCCCAGGCAGGAAGCAGCCAGACTTTGAAGCTGCAAGGCCATTCAATGCTAAGAATTTCCCCAGGCAGGAAGCAGCCAGACTTTGAAGCTGCAAGGCCATTCAATGCTAAGAATTCCCCCTGGCAGGAAGCAGCCAGACTTTGAAGCTGCAAGGCCATTCAATGCTAAGAATTTCCCCCAGGCAGGAAGCAGCCAGGCTTTGAAGCTGCAAGGCCATTCAATGCTAAGAATTTCCCCAGGCAGGAAGCAGCCAGACTTTGAAGCTGCAAGGCCATTCAATGCTAAGAATTTCCCCAGGCAGGAAGCAGCCAGACTTTGAAGCTGCAAGGCCATTCAATGCTAAGAATTCCCCCTGGCAGGAAGCAGCCAGACTTTGAAGCTGCAAGGCCATTCAATGCTAAGAATTTCCCCCAGGCAGGAAGCAGCCAGGCTTTGAAGCTGCAGGGACATTCAATGCTAATCAAGCTGGGCAATGACAACATTCACACTTGCCTCACACAGACACTAGTTCTTTCTCCCACCCTGGACATCACTCTATATACTGTATATATAAACCCCATTTTCCTAGTTTCCAATAGTCCTCACAACTTCAGAGGATGCTTGCCCTAGATGTGGGCGAAACGTCAGGAGAGAATGCTTCAGGAACATGGCCAGACTGCCCGGAAAACTCACAGCAACCCAAGTTCCCAAACTTCCCCCCTGTTTGCTGGGTTTCTCTCCTGCTCCTCCTCCTCCTTCTCCCGGGAGCCAATCAGGAGCCGGAGAGGGGCTCGCGGGGCGGGGCAAGGCGCCTCCACGTGACTCTTTCAAACCCTGTCCCTTTGTCTGCCTCGCCATCCGCGTCTGGGCTTGCAGGTGCGAGGCGGCGTCCCTTCCCTTCCCTTCCCTTCCGTGTGGCCATGGCTTCGCTCTGGTCCGGCAACGAGCGGCTCCGGATCGGGGAGCGGCTCCAGGCCAGCCTGGCCGGGATCCTGGAGCTGGATCTGCTCCGGGAGAGGCAGAGATCCGCCGTGGAGGGCGCCCTGGAGGGAGAGCGGGAGCCGCCGCAACAGGTGCGAGGACCCCGCGGAGGAGGGGCTGCCCGTGGTGGGATGAGCCCAGAACAGGAGGGAGACCTAGGCCACGCGCAAGCCTCTTGGGAGTATTCGCAGGGATACCTCGCTTTCGCTCTGCCAGAGCCATCTAGGCATACAGTGCAGTTTGAAACCGGGTTATATGGCCAGTGTAGACTCATGGGATGCAGGTCAATAACATTATGTGAGCATGGTGACTATAAAGCAGAACTAGCAAAGCATAGAGAATAATAAATAATAATAATATATTAAAATTATTATTCGTTAAAATAATAACTAATCTATATACTGTATCTATATACTTTTTTAGGCTGAAAAAGCTGCCCTCGGCTTATACTCGAGTCAAAGATATTTATTATTTTACTCTGTTATTACTATTATTTTTATTACATTTATTATTTTTCTCCATTTATTGGCATTATTACATTTGCATTATTTTACTCTATTATTATTTTAATACATTTATTTTATTGTATTATTATTACATTTATTATTTTACTTTATTATTATTGGAAGGATATGCAAGCACATTGACACTGAAAAAGGTTAGAGTATTATTTATTATTTATTTCAAAGTTTTATATACCGAGCTTCTCACCTCATAAGAGGGACTCAGTCCGGTTTCCAACCATAAAAACACATACAATCGGTAAAATATCAAAATACACATTACAATAAAACATTAAAAAAGCACATATATTTAAAACTACAGTGGTCAGTCGTCATACTAAAATCGAATATACACCGTCTTCCATCCAGATCATTGTCTCATTCTTCGAAAAGCCTGTCTCCATAACCACGACTTCACCTGTTTCCTGAATGTCAGGATTGTTGGGGAGGTTCTGACCTCTGGCGGGAAAGAGTTCCAGAGTCGCGGGGCCACCACCGAGAAGGCCCTGTCCCTCGTCCCCACCAGCCGCGCTTGTGAGGCCGGTGGGACCGAGAGCAGGGCCCCTCCAGACGATCTTAGTAATCTTGATGGTTCGTAGGGGAGAATACGTTCGGAGAGGTAAACAGGGCCGGAGTCGTTTAGGGCTTTATAGGTTAACACCAGCACTTTGAATTGTGCTCGGAAGCTAATTGGCAGCCAGTGGAGCTGGTGTAACAGCGGAGTGGTGTGCTCCCTGTACCCAGCACCCGTTAGTAGTCTGGCTGCACGTTGTACTTGCTGCAGCTTCCGGGCAGTCTTCAGAGGCAACCCCACGTAGAGAGTAATGGTTTAATCAAAGTTGGTCAGTCTTATTTTAAATTACACTTTTATGTAAACATTGAAAAACATTTAACCTACTGTTTCCTCAATTAATGTAATTTTATTGGTATCTATATTTGTTTTGTATTACCAGTAGCTGCTACATTTCCCACTCTTGACTTATACTTGAGTCAATAAGTTTTCGCATTTCTTGGTGGTAAAATTCGGTGCCTCAGTTCATATTCCGGTCGGCTTATACTCGAGTATATACGGCAAATAAAAATGTAATGTTCATTTGTGGGATTAACATAACTCAAAACCCACTGGACCAATTGCTGCCAAATTTGGCCACAAGACACCTTCTAACCCAAGGAGTGACCATCACTAAAAAAAAAAAAACCCACGAGTTTGTCATTTGGGAGTTGTAGTTGCTGGGATTTATAGTTAACCTATAATCCAAGAGCATTCCGAACTCCACCAATGATGGAATTGAACCATATGTGGCACACATGATTCCCATGACCAACAGAAAACAGCCCTCTTCTTCAGGCTAAACATGCCCAGCTCCCTAAGCCGCTCCTCATAGGGCTTGTTCTCCAGACCCTTGATAATTTTAGTCGCCCTCCTCTGGACACATTCCAGCTTGTCAATATCTCTCTTCAATTGTGGTGCCCAGAATTGGACACAATATTCCAGGTGTGGTCTAACCAAGGCAGAATAGAGGGGTAGCATGACTTCCCTAGATCTAGACCCTCTACTCCGTTTAGAGCAGTGGTTCTCAACCGTCCTCATGCTGTGACCCCTTAACACAATTCCGCATGGTGTGGTTACCCCCAACCATAAAATTATTTTCCTTCCTACCTCATAACTGTCATTTTGCTCCTGTTATGAATCATAATGTAAATATATGATGTGCAGGATGAATTCTCATTCACTGGACCAAATTTGGCACCATTACCCAAACGCTCATATTGGAATATTGGTGGGGTTGGGGGGAAATTGATGTTGTTATTTGGGAGTTGTAGTTGCTGGGATTTATAGTTCACCTGCGATCAAAGAGCATTCTGAACTCCACCAGCGATGGAATTGGGCCAAACTTGGCACACAGAACTCCCATGACCAACAGAAAATACTGGAAGGGTTTGGTGGGCATTGACCTTGAGTTTTGGAGTTGTAGTTTGTCTATATTCAGAGAGCGCTGTACACTCAAACAATTATGGATCTGGATTAAACTTGGCACAAATACTCAATATGCCCAAATGGGAACACTGGTGGAGTTTGGGGGAAATAGATTTTGATATTTTGTAGATGCTGGGATTTATAACTCACCTACAATCAAAGAGCATTCTGAACCCCACCAATGACATAATTGGGCCAAACTTCCCACATAGACCCCCCATGACCAACAGAAAATACTGTGTTTTCTGGTGGTCTTTAGTGACCCCTCTGATACTCCCTCATGACCCCTCCAGGGGTCCCGACCCCCAGGTTGAGAACCACTGACCTAGACACTAGACTCCAAAATCCCATTGGCTTTTTTTGCCGCCACATCACATTGTTGGCTCATGTTTAACTTGCTGTCCACGAGGACTCCAAGATCTTTTTCACACGTACTGCTCTCGAGCCAGGCCTTGTCCCCCATTCTGTATCTTTGCATTTCCTTTTTTCTGCCAAAATGGAGTCTCTTGCATTTGTCCCTCTTGAACTTCATTTCGTTAGTTTTGGCCCATCTCTCTAATCTGTCAAAATCGTTTTGAATCCTGCTCCTGTCCTCTGGAGTATTGGCTCTCCCTCCCAATTTGGTGTCGTCTGCAAACCTGATGATCATGCCTTCTAGCCCTTCATCTAAGTCATTAATAAAGATGTTGAACAGGACCGGGCCCAGGACGGAACCCTGCTTGTGGCACTCCGCTCGTCACTTCTTTCCAGGATGAAGAGGAAGCATTGGTGAGCACCCTCTGGGTTCGTCCATTTAACCAATTACGGATCCACCTCACCATAGTTTTGCCTAGCCCACATTGGACTAGTTTGTTTGCCAGAAGGTCATGGGGGACCTTGTCGAAGGCCTTCCTGAAATCCAGGTACGCCACATCCACGGCATTCCCCGCATCTACCCAGCTTGTAACTCTATCGAAAAAAGAGATCAGATTAGTCTGGCATGACTTGTTTTTGATAAATCCATGTTGACTATTAGCAATGACCGCATTTGTTTCTAAGTGTTTGCAGACACTTCCTTAACAATCTTTTCCAGAATCTTGCCTGGTATCGACGTGAGGCTGACCGGACGGTAATTGTTTGGGTCATCCTTTTTTCCCTTCTTGAAGATTGGGACCACATTGGCCCTCTCCAATCTGCTGGGACTTTTCCCGTTCTCCAAGAACTCTCAAAGATGATTGCCAATGGTTCCGAGATGACTTCCGCTAGTTCCTTCAATACTCTTGGGTGTAGTTGATCTGGCCCTGGGGACTTGAACTCATTTAGAGCGGCCAGGTATTCCTGGATGACTTGTTTCCCAATTTGGGGTTAGATGTCCTCTAATCCCTCATCCACTCCATCTTGCTGGGGTTGAAACGGTGGCCAGGGGGCTTTCACACAATTAAAACTTGTGTGCCAGTTGCATCTGTAATAATAATAATAATAATAATAATAATAATAATAATAATAATCTTTATTTATACCCCGCCACCATCTCCCCGGTGGGGACTTGGAGCGGCTGACATGGGGCCAAGCCCGGACAACATATTACAGCAATAAAATCAAAGCATAAACAAAACAACAACAACATCAAAATTACATTTTAAAAAGTGCAGTCGTAAAATAACATTCTAAACGCAATCACGATTATGATAACAATGGGTGAGCCACATATACAGGATAAAACAATTATTATTAATAATAATAATAATAATAATAATAATAATAATAATAAACTTTATTTGTACCCCGCCACCATCTCCCCGATGAGGACTCGGTGCAGCTTACATGAGGCCAAGCCCAAACAACAATTACATAAAATAAAACCGAAAACGCAAATAATGAACAATAATAGCATAATTACATAAAATAAATGAAAACATAGCAATATAAGATTACAATAAGCACAATCACAATGACAATGGGCAAGCTACATGTTTAAAAAACTGTAATGAGATAAAATAGGAGCAGGACATTTACAGGGAACTCATAAAACACACAGAGTTGTGGGGCAAACTTCCCATTTGGAGGGTGTGAGCTCCAGTAGTAAAAAAGAACATTGAGAGGTGCAAAATGTCATGGTGTGCACCTACTCACCAAAGGTGCAGAGGAAGAGCCAGGTTTTAAGGTTCTTTTTGAACATTTCTAGTGAGGGGGCCTATACCTTGGTCTTGGTCATGGTGGTCCACACTCTCATCGCATCCAAGATAAACTACTGCAACGCGCTGTATGTGGGGTTGCCTTTGAAGACTGTTTGAAAGCTTCAAATAGTCCAACGAGAGGCAGCCAGGGTAATAACTGGAGTGGCATACAGGGAGCACACAACTCCCATGCTACATCAGCTTCACTGGCTGCCTATTTGCTCCTGGGTACAATTCAAAGTGCTGGCTTTGGCCTATAAAGCCCTAAACGGCCCCAGCCCAGTTTACCGAACACATCTCTCTTTATGAATTACCATGAAGACAAAGATCTTCTGGGGAGGCCTTCTTTTGGTCCCACCACCATCACAGGCATGTTTGGCAGGGATGAGAGACAGGGCCTTTGCAGTGATTGCCCCATGGCTATGGAACTCTGTTCCTGGCAATATTAGATCAGC